ACAAATGCGCTTTACACAATTGATGTGTGTATGGATTGGGATAACAGTTGTATGAGCCCCTAATAAAATGTTAAAAAAGAAAAAAAAAAAAGTTGAAGTGCTGGGGCGAGGTGGGGCGGGGGTCAGAGCCTGTACAAAACTGATGTTGCCCTTCCAAGGCCACCCCTCCCCACCCCCATAGCTCCGTCTCTCTCTGACATTATTACTCTCTTCCTTGCAGTCTCTGCTCCAGACCTGTTGTTCCTCAAACAGACCCAGAACACTCTTGTTCTTCGTTTGCTTGAAGTGTCTGCCTCTCCTGACCACCTTAATGTGAAATAGCACCTCTCTACCCTATTTCATGTCTTCTAATATTGCCTTTTCTCGTTGCATTTGGCCTCATTTTAGTACTTGTTGGCTTGCTTGTATGCCAACCCCAGTCTCTAAGTAGAATATAAGCTCTGTGTGGTCAGGCACTTGGTCTGGTTTCATAACCTCCAGTTATAATATTGTTCAGCTCAGGAAGCAACAGGATCTTTGAAGAAAGTAATTTTTAACCCAAATTCTCAAAGATGTCTACATAATTTTTTGTTTAAAGAAAAAGTTTTGAAGCCCAAGTAAAAGCTTGAGTTAAATCCAGAGATTATTTTTCCATGTCTGTCTCACATTGAGTCTTTGAACCATTGGGAAGCAGGGATTCTGTTTAATTTTGTTTTTTAGAATTGAACATGCCCCGTTTGTAGTTCATACTCAGTTCATGTTTTTTGAAGGAACAGAACCACGTATGCAGATTCATCTTCTCTGCCCTTGTAATTTCTCCACTGCCTGCTCCATTTTAGGGATTTTTTTCTTTTCTCTTGCCAGGTGTTTTGGATACAGCCATTGTTGATCGGGGAAGGAATGTCATATCTGGTTCTCGGGATGGAACTGCACGGCTCTGGGACTGTGGGCGCTCAGCCTGCCTGGGAGTCATTGCAGACTGTGGCTCTTCCGTCAATGGAGTGGCTGTGGGTGCTGCTGATAACTCCATCAACCTTGGCTCCCCCGAGCAGATGCCAAGTAAGTTGATAAGGGTCTGTGACCTCGTTTTGTCTTCTTAGGGCCCCCGCCCCCTTTGGGTTTGCTTTAGTTTCCCCTCTTCTTCCTCATCCTTTCTCACTTGGTAACTGATGTTTCTGTCTTCACCATGAGATTACTGTTTATGGAATACCTAATAAGTTTCTAAGGATCCCTGGTGGCATAATGGTTATGTGTTGGGCTGTGAACCTTAAGGTCAGCTGTTTAAAACTGCCAGTCACTTTGTGGGAGAAAGATGGAGCTTTCTACTCCTATAAAGAGTTACAGCCTTGGAAACTCACAGGGGCAGCTCTGCCCTGTCTATAGGGTCGCCGTGAGTCAGCATTGACTTGATGGCAGTGAGTTTGGTTTTCACAGGTGTCTATTGCTTCAGGATCTATAAAGGAAGTATCGATCGTAGTTCTGAGTAAATACAGGCTAATTTAGCAGATGAGATTAATGCTTACATTGTGCCCTTTGGGGTGAAAGACGTTTGTGATTCTTAATGCAAATTCTAGATTTCTGAGCAAGGGAGTAATTTAGGTTAATATAGATGAAAAGTGTTTGCAACAGTAGCTGGCTTGAACCTTGAAGGGTGAATTGGAGTTGAACATGTGGAACGGGAAGGCTATATCTAGGTTAGGACTCAAGGCAGAGGGTAGATGTAGGACCAGTTTGCATTAAAAATATAATAAAAGTTGAGTGTTGTATAAAAAAGATTTGGAGTGTTTGTGTGAGAAAACTTACTGGTGGATCGGAATGATGAAGGTCCTAATAAGAAAACTTTTTCATTCTTTTATTTTTCTGTGGTCATAACTAATCATTGTTTCTCTGTGTCCATGGAACAATTTTTGTCTACCATCGTCTCTGCTCCTCAAGTTTTACATATTCAGTGCTCTCTCTCTTCCCTTAAACACTCTGTAAGTGCCCTGTGGTCCCAGGAACTCTTGCTTCCTGCTTCTGCTTTGGAAATGAATGGATTAATAGGTAGAGCTGTGTTTCCTAAAGGGTGCTAAGTGTGCCACTAGTGGTGAACAAGATCATTTTTAACAGGTACAAAATTTTAATAGTTGTATATCTCATTTAAACCTAAGCTTTCCCAGGCATTATTTCATGAAAGTTAAGCTTTAGACAATTGGACATCCCCTTACAGAAGGGTCACAAGGAAGAGACAAGCCAGTCAGGGTGCAGGATAGCACCGATGAAACACACAACTTTCCTCTAGTTCTTTAATGCTTCCTCCCTTCCACTATCATGACCCCAATTCTCCCTTACAAATCTGGGTAGACCAGAACATGTACACAGGTACAGTTAAGAGCTGGAAACACGGAATCCAGGACAGATAAACCCCCCAGGACCAATAATCAGAGTCTCCATACCAGGAGGGTAAAGGTAAAGTGGGGTGAGATGGGGAACCGATCACAATGATCTACATTTAATCCCCTCTCAGGGGGACTGACAACAAAAAGTGGGTGAAGGGAGACATCGGTCAGTGTAATGACATGACAAAAATAATAATTTATAAATTATCAAGGGTTCATGGGGAATGGAGGGCAAAAAATAAGGAGCTGAGACAAGGGCTCAAGTAGAAAGAAAATGTTTTGAAAATGACGATGGTAACAAATGTACAAATGTGCTTGACACAATGGATGGATGGATGGTGACAGGAGCTGTATGAGCCCCCTATAAAATGATTTTTAAAAAAATTCGTTTCTTTGAATTGATTTAAATAAATTAAAATATCCTTGTTTTTTTCTACTTCACACTTCCTAGTTACCCTTCAACCTCTTCTAGGATGGTTAATATTCTAACCACTTAACTGAAGTGGTTTTCGTCAAAGTCACCGATTACTTCCGTGTTGCCAAATGTAGTGTACCAGATATACATATTTTTTAAATTGGGCTTATTAAGATGTAGTTAATTTAGCAGTAAAACTCACCTGCCTTGTTGTTGTTGTTATTTTTAACTTTTTATTGTAAGTTAGGCAAAGGCTTACAGCAACTCATACACGTTTTGTTTCAGTTGATCCATTGCAATCCCCTCACTGGATTCGCGCTCATCCTGAATGTACCCTGTGTTTTCCTGTTTCCATTCCTCTTCTTCCCTAACCCTTCTGAACTTTGCCTTTGGGTACATGCTGCCCTTTTGGTGTCAACTGGTAGATGGTTCTAACACAGGGTGAGTTCCTTTCCAGACCTGAGGGTAACGAAGAGCCATAGTCTTGGAGCGTCTATGAGTCCCTATCTAACCAGTCAGCCTGGCACTTAATGATTCTGAAGAATTCACCCTTTTAAGCGTATCTTTTTATGACTTTCGACAAATGTATACAATGTGTAAGCATCACTATAGCCAAAATATAGGACTTTTATTTTAATTGTAAGTGAAGCACTAACACAGAGCGTAGTCAGTAAACAGTCTGGTGTCTGCTTTGTGTATACTGCCAGCTGATCAGCCCAGCCCCTTACTGACATAGTGCATCTGTCCTGCAGGTGAACGAGAAGTTGGAACAGAGGCGAAAATGCTGCTGGTGGCTCGGGAAGATAAGAAACTTCAGTGCCTGGGACTACAGAGCAGGCAGCCGGCAAGTGGTTCCTATAAGACCTTTGAACTCTAAGGGCAAGCTAGGCCACTCATTTTCTGGAAAGCAGTTTTGAAAAAATTTCCACTTCTTCTCTTCATCTTAGAGAAGGATGAGTGTGTGAAAGTACAGATAACGTCATGAGATTGGGAATAGAGGCTCTATTTAAATCCTAGCTCATCTACTTAATGGTGATGGGCTGGGGCAAGTTATTTAACCCTGGGGGTTTTACTTTCTTCATCACGAAGAGTCACGGTAGGATGGGTTATGTGTCGAGAAGGAAATGCTGTACTGCTTTTGTGGCCTGTCTGTCACTTTTCCTCTCTGAATAGTAGTGTGCTAAACTATAAATTGAAGAGGGAAATATATGAGGATAAATCAAATAATATTGTAACAAAATCCTAGAAACCTTCATTAAGCAGAAATATCAAAATGTGAAGCTACTGTTTTTCAATGTTATCTTGCATCTAGGTCTATATATTTCTTTTTAAAAGCAAATATTTTATACTAAATTAGATGGGTGTCTACATTTCAGATCAGTGTTGTATTCAACAGTTCAAACTATTCATCAACCTCCCTCTCATCCCCCCATCCCCCCGTAATTTCCCCTTAACCTGCTCCTTGATTTTTCCCTCTTGTAGACTTCTGTCTTCCATTTCACCCAAGTTAACATGTCATCAGTCTAGCCCAGTGCTTTCTCTTCCCTCCCTGATCCTGCCCGTCAGTATATTTTTGAAGACAGTGTTGCCATCTCTAGTTCTTCCGTATCTATGCTCTTCAGTTTATACCATATCAAAATGACAGTTTTTGCATCCTTGGGAGACTCTAATTTCATTGTTTTGGTGTTTAAGTGTTGGGAGCAAAAAGAAGTCCGAAGGGGAAAAAATCAAGGGCCCTAAGTAAAGTAGATGGAGTAAGGTTTCCCCATGAAAATCTTGTAGGACAGCATGTGTTGCCCTCGCAAACTAAGCAGGTACACTGACATGATGGGAACAAGTTCCTGGCCTTTTTATCGACAATGCAGTCTTCAATTTTCTTTAAACTTCATAATAAGCCCCATGATCATCTGAGTCCTTTGTGAAAAATTGGTCACGATTACCCCTTTGGAATTCCTGAAAACAGTTGCCATCATCTTTTGAGCTGACCTTTTGGCCTTGAATTTAACTGGCCCAACAGATCCATTGAAAGCCTCTGTTTTGATTGTACTTTGCTCTCTGGATTATTTTGATAAGTCCAAGACCAGTGCCCATAACCTTGTTAGGTTTCTGGGTTGTGCACCTCGGTTCTTGCTTTTCCACGCTGAAAGAATTCACGTGGCAGAAGCACTTTTCTAATCCCAGTCACTCTGATGAGGGAAAGGAAAGTTTCAGGTAATACAGTCTCAGACAGTATATGCTCTCTGGAAAGTGTGCGAGGCTGCCTGGCAGGGTATGGGAGAGTTCGCCACCAAAAGTGGCCGCTACAGGGGAACTTGAAAAACCACATGGAAAAATCGTCCTTCAGAGGTGTCCACAGAGCCAAAAGAGTGCCTGAACCAAAAAAGGAAAGAGAGTGCTACTGCTGAGAGCACGCTGTGTATACAGGAGCAATCCCACCCTCCTACCTGAAAGAAAGGCCTGCCCTCAGTCTCTGCTATTTACTCCCTTCCATGCCCACCTGGGGGAGGGGGCTGTGGTTGAGGGTATTGGCCTATCTTAGTGGCTGAGTTCTGACACACTTGTGATGTGCTGTCATGGTGTTTAGTGTATGTGTCCAGATTAACCTTCACCTGGACCTAGGTGGCAATGGTCTGAGCATCCCAGTTTTGAATTGTCCCCATAGGTGTCTAATGCGCGCCTGATTTTTTTCCACCCATTTATTGTGGCATGGTCATCTAATTTTTGTGTAGCTTGGGCATTAGATGGAGATAATCCCCTTTATCTCTAATCTTCTTACCTATCAAAATCATCTTCATTAACTTGAATCTTGCTTAAAGACTTATGAAAAGATCAGTTCTTTTAGGCTAGTTGATTTTCATAAACATTTTTGGCATCTGTGGTAATTATATATAATTGTCAGTTTGGGAGGATTAAGAGGGAAGGGGTGGGGTCTAGCCTGTCAATCAGGTGATAGCCAATGAAGCCTCTGTGTGGGCATGGGCTTGTCTGGAGAATTCTGGAAACTCCTGTAATTCCTCCTTGAAGGTGGGAGACACTCTCTCTCTTGGCTCGCTCCCTGGGAAACATTGCAGCTTACAAGATACATGGAACTACGCTAGAGCCCTGGGAGCTGATAAAGCCATGTGGAGGCCCCTGCCAGTGTTGAGATGCTTATAACACCACTGGATCCACAAGACTTCCCACCCACTGGCCTGTGATCTTCCTGCATTCGGCATCATTGCCTGTGTTGTGCGAGTCTGAAGAGGACTTTGTGGATTAATATTGGACGTATGGGCTAATATGGGACTTATGGACTTTATCTGGACTGGGCTGGGATGTTTTCTCAATATTCAATTGCTCTATTATATAAAGCTCTTTCCTATACACATGAATGTCTGAATGTGTTTCTCTAGTCTATCCAGACTAACCCAGCATCCTCTGAAAGTTTGCTGAGGCCAAGTAGTTCGCTTCTTATTAAAAATGCTGGGGAGACAGTGGGGTGACAGGCAGGAAAAATAAAGTAAAAAATAAAAATAAAAATGCTGAACTATGTCAGATCCTGACTTCAGTAGGTAATATTGCAGCCATGTAATTCTGTGTTCGTCTTCCTCCAGTTTTTGGACTTGAACTGCATTATATCTTCACTCATCCAGGTTGATGGTCGTCCCTCTCTTGACTCATCTTTGAAGTCTCACTAACCTTCTTTAATATGCTCTGTCATCTAAAAGCTCTTGTTTTCTGTGGTACAGCACACCCGTAAATTTGTTCTAAAACTTCAGTGATTTGAGAAGAGGTCCACTTGTGTTTTGTGAACCTCAAAATCCACTTTCCCAGGTACACAAAGTATCCTTTTCTTTCCGATGGCAGCCTCAGGTCAAGGCAAGTGGATTTCTGAGAGTCCTTGTTGTTGGCAGCTGTCCACTGATTGACGTGTGTCAGCATATTCTGTTTGCAATGAAGCCACACGTTTGAGCGGGAGACCTACTAGCAGTATTTTTAGACTTACCCTCATAGATGCCCTTTATTCAGGGGCTGTTGCCTCTAAGGTATTATGAAATTCTGTAAGGACTCATGCATTCTAGACTCTTGATTAATGACCGGATGTCTTTGATAGAAGGATGTCTTAGTTTTTTGTCTTTTCATCCTCTGCAGTCTTGCTGAGAGATTGTGCTCTTGATTAACCCTGTCTTCCCTAAGATTGCATTTATTAAATATCTGCTGCCTCCTGCCGTCCCTCTCCGGGCAGCTCTGGCGGTTCTGTTTGGCCAGTGGTTCTGTGTTTTCATTTTATCCCGTCACTCTGTGCTGGTGGTGTTTTCATTGTCAAAGTTTGCCTCAGAGGTGTAGTATGACTCTGTTTGATGAAATTGCCCTTGCACTCTGAATTTCCATATCGGTCTTACTCTCAAAGGTATTTCAAATGTTTTTGTTTCTTTTCTAAGAAGAGTATAGGGAGAAATGATCATTTTAAGCTATTGTAAGGAACAGATGAAAATCTACTAATTCCTTTGTTTCGAAGTATGGGGGCATTGCGATTCTTTCGGTTGCACTTTATTTAAGCCTATGTCTTTTTCTACCAAGTAACCCGCTTTTTGGAAAACACGTTGGGCATCCATTGAGACCCTTTGAAAGGTTCCTTGAAGTGAAAAACCTAAATGTGTGAATTACAAGTGTTCTCAAATGGGGAGGATGTTGTGATAATATGAAGGATTTTTGATGGTAGGGATCTTAGGTGTCCATGATGTGGGGTGTGGTTTAATAGTTTGAAAGCTGCTATCTCAGTCTGGGTTTACGTTATTATATAAACTGCTCCAGTCCTCAGCCATCCCGAGTTGCTGAAATCCTGGGAGTGCTTTCTCCTGAGTTAATGGTGAATCCTTAGTTCACTGCTTGAGAATGTGCAAAGGGGTCAGAATAGTAAAGTTTTACAATAGTAAAGTTTTCCTTTACTTGGTACCTGTTTATTCTTGGAAACAAATTCATCTTTAATTTGTTTTTGGCTCCTGTGTGTTCCCAGGTGTTCCTCTTTATTGGCTCAGATGCCTTCAACTGCTGTACTTTTCTTTCTGGCTTCTCTCTATTGGCTGGGACACAGGATGGAAATATTTATCAGTTGGATGTGAGGAACCCGAGGTGAGTCACCATCCGTTTGCATGATGCACCTCTTCTGCAGAGTGGAATTTTTTATTGGCCTTCATACTGAGGTAGCCTAGCCCATAGATGACTGTTGATAGAGGGTGTATTTTCTATTTATAAAGCTTTTCCAGTGTGAATTACTTCATTGTTATTATTATTGCTAGAGTCATATTAAAAAGTAACTTGATCAGACTGTCCTGATTGTCCTGCTGAGATGATTGCCTTGGACAGGGAGTCTAAATAAGGAAAGGACATTTCATTATAAATGGATGTCTAGAACTCTCTATTTTGAGGAGCTCAGCAATGATTCCTCTGGCGTTAGACTTAGGCTGTAAGATTGAACAATCATATTTAGATTATATAAGGCAGCTCTAGTTCTTTGCTTAGTTTTAAGAAATAAACCTGACAGGTCTAACCCTGGCCTTAAAACTATTTAGAGAAGAGTTCACAACCCTCTGTCCCAGGATTTAAGAATCTCTGTGACTCTCTCCCTTTAATTTCCTTCCTTTGCTCAGCTGATATTAACACGATTTTTGTGGGCACCAAGCTTTGGGCAGAACATTGAAATACAGAAAGAAAAGATATAAACTCCACCTCTGAGGCACCCGCAGTCTAATGGCAAAGACAGACAAGCGCAAGTCCATTGTGAGGCCATCTGACGAGCGGGATAGACGCCGAAATGTGAGGAAGCACTAAGGAAAGAAGAGTTGATTGGATCTTGTCGAGTAGGGTAACCAAGGAAAGACCAGAAGGACCTTCCCTCGGTTGGACATTAACAAAGCCCTATTCTATTACTGTGCAGTTATCTCTGTCAGAAAGGTCTTTATATTGAGAGTCATCCTGTTTCATTGATCTCTGAGGGCCCCAAGGAAACAGACCTTGTCCTATGGAAAGGTTTAAATGAGAGCTGGAGTCATTGAAAAGAGTAGGCTTTATGTTTCCTGAAATCAATTCTGATTTACCTAAGTAGGGACAGCATTCAACAGGTAACTATCAATATTTTTACACAAATACCATGCATGTTAGACATTTTGAGGGAGATTTGTTATAAACAGTGCAAACCTCTTGATCATTAGTTTCCTGTGCCTGCTGGTCACATTATAGATGTGTGCCTTATTTACATGGGCACATTTGCACCCCACCCCCCCAAAACAACAACACTGCTACTCCATTAAAGTCTTGGATTCAAGGATACCTGCTAGGTACCTGCCTACTAGGAAAAAAATCATTTTTGTTAGCTGTATTGTGCTGCTGAAAGGAAAATGCCTGTGTGCCCTACCCGCCTTGCAAAAAGGTATATTTCTCCACTTCCCTTTTTTGGTGCTCTTAACTTGTAGTTGTGCCAAATTACATTACAGAGTGGGGAGAACCTAGCCGAACACGCTGGCTTCCTCAGCCTCCGTACCACACTCAGGCAGACAGTGGGTATGATAGTGATTGATGCACACGTGCTTGGATTTTAAATCCCAGCATAATAGCCATGAGCACATTCCTTTAGCTTTCTGGGTCAGTGTCCTCATCTGAACATAGGGTTTATGGAGCTTCCATTTCTGTGATAAGATGTTAAATAAATGAGATAAAATGTGTTAAATGCCTAAAATCATCTCAACATTTAGCAGTTATTAATATTTTACTATTATCAGTACAGTCATCTTCACACCGTCATCTAGTGAAGAGATGGGATGCAGCTCCAACGAACCGGTGGGTTTTGACTCTGCTCTCATGCAGCTGTTGTAAAATGGTCGCTTCTCCCCACTTTGTCCTTGTTTTCTGTGTTTTCCTGTTAGCACTTTAATTCCATTTACACAGGCTTCCAAGGCTCTGATACCATCCCTCATATCCCAGTTGGAAGATCTTCACTCCAAGGTGGTTTTGAGTTAATTATCTTGATCTGCCACTTAAGAGCTTACCAGGGCGAAAAACGAATATCCATATGGGTTAATCTTCTTTCATATTTTCCCTCTTAGTTTTTATGTGGTTAATATTATGTTGAATATCATAAAGCTCCCCTTTTGAAGAAAAGAAGTAAAATTGTCCCTTTTATTTTGAATTCTAGGGCTCCGGTTCAAGTTATCCACAGATCAGGAGCACCAGTGCTTTCCCTGTTGCGTTTCAGAGACGGATTCATTGCTAGCCAAGGTGGGTCCAGGGAGCAATTGAGAGAGATGCTTGCGTGTAGTTCAGTTAGTTAAACAGTTTTACTTGTCTGCCTATGGCTGGGTCTATGATTCTTTGGTACATACGTTGTTCTTATTGCATAGCACATATCACTCAACATTGTAACTATTTGTATACTCACTTGAGAATGGGTTTTGCCTTTTACATCATGATATCCCTCTTTTAACTCAGTGTTTACTATGTGGTAAGTTCTCAACAAACTTTGATAGAATAAGTGAGTGGGCCTTATTGTTACAAGATACTGAGGACTTAATGATAAATCAGTTACAGTTTGTACCCTGTGGTGCTCCCAGTTATTAAGGAAGACAGAGATGGAACATGTGATTACAATACCATCTGGTATTCTACAGTAGAAGTTTGCATAGGAACATTGAGAAGAGGTAACTCTGGTGGTAGGAGTACAGCCAAGGAAGGCTTTGTGGCCTAAGTAAACTGATGAACATTTCACCTAGTAGAGAGATGTGAAAATGGATATTGACGGGCAAAGCTATAGTGTGTGCAAAGGCATAGATGTGGGAAAGGGGCTGACAAGAATTGTCAGGCATTAGAATTGAGTGCCTACTTCCTGGTAGGGATGGTCTGTGATGCTTTATTACATGTTCTAGGCCAGACTTGGCTTTGTCAGGACCCAACCCTTGGTGTGGAGTTTGGGAGTAGGGCTGGAACTATGTGTCCAAGGGAAACTGAGTCCTCGCCGGAATGATGCAGTCAGGAGGGCTACACAGCATGGGGGAACACCTCACCTGAGGGTTTCAGGATGCTTGGGCTTATAGTAGTACTCATTTTAAAACTGCTTAAATAATTTGGAAAGTGCTCGATTTCACTGACTATTTCCCCACTTCCGCAGTTTCTTCACATTCCATTTGGTGACACCGATAACATTCTGGGAGTTGAGCAACCATTCTCAGCCTCCTTTTCTGAGTTGCTCCATCCTCAGTAACACACTCCTTGCCCCTGAAGGTTCCTATGTAATCTTCTGAGTTATGTTATCAATTTAATTCCATATCAGTAATTTAAAAAATCATTTTACTGGCATATACTTCATATATTACGCAAGGTAATCATTCAGTCATATTAAGACTTAGTTGTACAAGCATCACCGCAGTTTCAGAACATTTTCTTCTCATACTCGTTGCTAGCTCTCATTTTCCCCCAACCTTCCCTGCCATACTCCTAGGTAACTATTAATTCAGTTTCTGTCTCTATAGCTTTACCCATTTTCTTATTCAGAAAATCATACAGAACACAAACAGGAAGCAAGCCAAAAAAATCCCTCAACAATTATAAAACAAAACAGGGAAAAACCTCAATGGAAAGAAATCAGATATTAAAAATTGAAACAATTGTGTCAAAGGGAGATCGTAAAATGGATCAAAAGGTATATCAAATAAGGTATAACATTATAATTTTAATTACATCTGACATAATTGCCTTCATAGTGTTCTCTGATGACAAGCTTATTCATACCCCTAGACTGTTATCAGAGAGATTCACCAGAGATTCATGTGGGGACCTTGCAAAAGGATTTGAGGTTTCCACTATCATTCATAGCCTTCTGCAAGCCAGGTGTTCAGAATTTAAGCTCTGATACTGTTCCCTTCTTCAGATTAGAATTTGCGTACAATCTGTGGATCACACAGGCTAGTGTGCTTCTTCCAGGTGGACTTAGTTGATGCCTCACTTAGATGGCTGCTTGTTTTAAGACAGCGGTTCTCAACCTGTGGGTCGCAACCCCTTTAGGGGTTGAATGACCCTTTCACAGAGGTCGCCTGATTCATAACAGTAGCAAAATTACAGTTATGAAGTAGCAACTAAAATAATTTTATGATTGGGGTCACCACAACATGAGGAACTGTATTAAAGGGTCGCAACATTAGGAAGGTTGAGAAGCACTGTTTTAAAACAAGCCTTTTTTTTTTTTTAATCAATTTATTGGGGCTCATACTATTCATCACAATGCATAGATCAATTGTGTAAAGCACATCTATACGTTTGTTGCCCTCACCATTCCCAAAATTCGCTTTCCTCTTGGGCTCCCGGAATCAGCTCATTTTCCTTTTTTCCAAAACAAGCCTTTAAGACCCAATATAGCAGTAGTCCTTTAAAGAACATAACGCTCAAAGCTGACCTTACTTACTCATTGAGATAAACTATTGTTCTGTTTTAAGAAGCAGTCAAGGCTATTTTGGGTTTAAGATGTTGGTTTTTTTTAAATCATTTTTTAGGGGCTCATACAACTCTTATAATCCATGCATACATCAATTGTACAGAGCACATTTGTACATTCATTACCCTCATCATTCTTACACATTTGCTCTCCACTTAAGCTCCTGGCATCAGCTCCTCATTTTTCCCCTCCCTCCCCGCTCCCCCCTCCCTCATGAACCCTTGATAATTTATAAATTATTATTTTGTCATATCTTGCCCTGTCCAACGGTCTCCTTTCACCCACTTTTCTGTTGTCCGTCCCCCAGGGAGGAGGTTATATGTAGATCCCTGTAATAGGTTCCCCCTTTCTACCCCACCCTCCCGTTTGGTTTAAGTTTTTTTTTTTAATCATTTTATTGGGGCTCATACAACTCTTATCACAATCCATACATACATCAATTGTGTAAAGCACACTTATACATTTGTTGCCCTCATCATTCTCAAAATTCGCTTTCTGCTTGGGTTCCTGGAATTAGCTCCTCATTTTCCTTTTTCCTCTCCCCCTCCCCACCGCTCCCCCCTCCCTCACTGTTGGGTTTAAGTTTTAAAGATTATCTCAGCCAACAGTTTCAGCAGTCCATTTACTTTCCATGGCTTCCAAAAGTCTAGCGCCCAGGAGGATTTGAAATTCTTTCTGTAGTCTTCGATGGACTCCTTGATCACAATAGTCAGTACTGGTACTTAGCTAATCTTTACGGAAACCAATCAGCAGGTCTTTCTCCCAAAGAGCCTCTGGCTGGGCTTGAACTGCCAACTTTTTGGTTAGCAGTCAAGTGCTTAACAATTGCACCACCAGATGTCCTACAGACTAAAACAAAGTCAGTAGGATTAAAGAAACTTGACAGCTAAATCGATGGGGCAGTCTGACTGGATCCAGGGCTTGAAGGGAAAGGGCATATAGACCTGGCGATCTCTGGATAATGTAAGAGATTTGGGTCATCAGATTGGACCAACGTGGCTTTCTTTGTGAGTCATTAGGAGAAACGAACTGACTCAAGGCAATGTGGGAACTTCCTCTGTACTATTTTTGTAACTTTTCTGTAAATCTAAAATTGTTCCCAATGCAAAGGTTCTTTTCTCCCAAATCTAGACCAGTAAAAGGAACCAAACATCAAGAACCCAGCTTCTTTCTGGCTTTTGACTCTGATCCCTGGGTTTTCTTCTCTGGCTTATCCCTTTGTGACCACAATGCAAGATGGGTACAGCACCTCTCATCCGCACTTAATAGTGGTTACGGTTACTAGCCTTTTTTACGAATGAGGGGAATTGCCTTAGGAGCAGCCTAACAGACTTGCTCTCAAGTCCTTTGACGAAAATGCACCACATGCTTCTACCAAAGGCTGTCACTGGCCATGGGAACAGAAGTGCTGTGATGCACTGGGGCTAATCAAGCTCTGCCTCCTGGGGCACCGGTCACTGGAGACAGTTGAGATTCTGTTAGGAAGAAGGCTACAGTACAGTGCCTGGATTCCACGGCCAGCTCTCTGATGTAGCCACCTTCATCCCTGTCAAACTGATGGCTTATTTCTCTAGCCCTTTTCATGCAATATTGCCAGACCAATGTTCACGCTCCCTCAATTTCCCTTTCTAACCCCCCCACCCACCCCTCCCGGTGAAACAGTACCAGCTTGTGGTGCAGCAGTCCTCTCTTAGGGAACCATGATGAGAGGAAGCTGGTACAAGCCCTTGACAGCTCACTGGATGCTGCTGCCACCACACATCCTAATCCTCTCTCCCCCATCCCCTTGGCTGCCAGAATTCTGGGATGAGAGTTTGGTTGCTGTGCCACACTTTTCCTTAGGGAAACCTCTGCAGCCTGGCTCCCAACCTGTCCCTCTGCTCAGATTGCTTTCTTCCAGGTCACCAATGATGTACTTCTTGCAAAGTCTAGAGACTTTTTCTGGGCATGACCCCAATTCATCTCCTAGTCACTAATTTCCTTTAGGACAGGTACCCTGTCTCCTTCATCTCTGTATCCCCGGTTCTTGCACAGGACTAAAGAAAGCATGACCGTGTTTGTTGGACAAAAGCATAAATCAGTCTTTACCTTTTATGACTCTTAGCAATTCATTCTGATACTCTAATTTTCTTCCTCTGTGGCACTACGGGGACTTCCAAAAGCTGGTGGAAAACTGGAATGAAAAGATAATGGCACTTTTCCATAAACTTTTAAAAGCTCCTTTTTTAATGATTTGTTATTTTCTCTAATGAATACTTTCTCTGATTACCATAAATTATATTTCAAAGTACCTATCATGATTCATTGTTCTGCTGTAGGCTTTCCACTTGACTTCTTTGTTATTTTGCTGTGCCTAACCCAGGTACTTCCTGATTTCACTCGTCTTCCTTTCTCAGCACGCCTGTAACCGAACATCACAAGTAGGTGGCTCTAACGCACAGACATTTTTTCCTTCTTACAGTGCTGAGGTCTGAATCCAGGGTAACCGATGATAGGAGAAAACTTTCTCTGTCGGCTCTGCCCTTGTCACTTTTCACCTTCTGTTCCTTCTCTGCTTCCTTGCTTCTGTGCCTGCTCCTTTTACAGCTTTTGATAGCTTTTCATAGCTCAAAGGTAATTGTGCTTTCCATCTAAGATGATACTATTGGTCTTTCCTCATTTGGAGCAAAGAAGAGTGAGAAATTCAAAAGCTCAAGGAAGCAGTCAGTCCATAGGATTGATGGACTATTCAGACCATATAGCCTCCACTCTCCTGAAACCAGAACTAGATCCAGGATCACAATAGAAGGTTGTGGACAGAGAGGAAGGGAAAAATAAAAGTTGAACAAAAGTGAAAATCTTTAAGAAGCCTGGACTTACTGATCTGACAGAGACTGGTGGAATCCTCAATACTGTGACCTGAAATACTCTTGCAGTGTGGAACGGAGCCCCTCGGAGTCTATTTTCTTCCCAACAATAGACAGGACCACTTGTGAGTGGTAACACTAGAGAAGAGTGTACTCCTCAATATGGTCAACCAGAATGGGAACTTTTGCCCCAAAGGGCTGGGAAGGCAGAAAGGAGCAGGAAAGGACAAGTAGAAACAGGGAACCCAGGGAGGAAGTGGGAAGAGTGTTGTTACATTGAGGGGATGCACGAAATGAAATATCCATAAATTGTTGAATGGAAATGGATTTGCTCTATAAACTTTAACCTAGACTCTAATAAAAAGTAAAATAGTAATTGGGTTTAAAACCTACTCTGCACTGATATGGCATTATTCACGTAACAAGGAAAATTCTCCTCCTAGATAAGACTGTACAAGTTTAACCCAAACCAAACTCACTGCCACTCAGTGGATTCCGACTCTTACCAACCCTATAGGACCTAGGAGAACTGCCCCCTGTGGTGTCTGAGACGGTAAATCTTTAGGGGAGCAGAGAGCCTCATCTTTCTCCCAAGGAGTGGCTGATTGTTTTGAACTGCCTACCTTACGATTAGCAGCCCAACTCGTCCACAGGTATAGGTCTTAGTATGCCAGCATTTTAGGAGAACACAATTCAATCCATAAAACAGCTTTGGCCCTTTCACCTCTTTGTTTGCTACACTTCCTGAAAGACTTCATTGTTTCAGCCATCCTTTCTGTATAAATGATTGCAGCTCATAGCTCCAGCTCTACCTCCTACTTAACCCTTATTTTCCTGCACAGTAAGCATGATGTGGGAAGAGTATAGATTTGGGGTCCAAACTGAACCATGTATAAGTCTTCATTCCACCACTTATTAATAAATGGGCCTCCAGATCCTCCCAATGCAGCGTTCTAAGCAGCCACAATACGTCATTCATAGTTTAGGGCTATTCTTTGAATGCAGGCTTCATTTCACGTATCTTAATTTTCTTCCTCCTTTAGGTGATGGAAGCTGTTTCATTGTCCAGCAAGATTTAGACTATGTCATTGAGCTCACTGGGCCGGACTGTGACCCCGTGTATAAGGTACGGGCCTAAGAAGTGACCAAGCCTGGGTAATTCTCACTCAGGACCTAGAGCTTCAAGGGGACCCAGTCTAGGTACTTTGTATTCATTAGGGAGGGTCGTTTTTATTGTATAGCCAGTGACAGAATGGAGAGAAAGCAAGGCTTTAAGTTAGAAGTGACTTCATCCCCTAGCCCCAACACTCTAGTTTTAAATTTGCATGTAATGGAGATGATTCTATGACTATTACCTTTTCTTATTTTTTCCTTTTGCTTACCATTCTAGAGCTCTTTCTGGGTAGATACACACAGGTCTAATATTTATTTTAATCCCTGCATATTTTTTTACATTGTGTCTCCATTGTGGATTTACATATCTTACAGAGGAAACCATGGCCCAGAAGGGTTAAGAAAGTTGTCTCAGGTTATGCATTCACATAGTAGCAGACCTTGGATTAGGCTAAGCCTCAAAGTCAAACTATTTCCACTAAATAACTGGTTCTTAAACTTTCTTTGAATTTAGAACTTCTTAAGAGTATTTGCTAAAATCCTCCTAAAAGGAGTGGGGGAGTCAGGATCTTTTTTTTTGCTACAGTTTTATGAGATTCAGGGGTACCCAAACTCATCCTTGGACACACCTCCTTCACTCCAAGGTCAGACCCTCTGCACTAAGCCGCACACAGCACTGATGGGTTTGACTCTCTACTTGGACCAATCGGGTTCTCTGTCCTGTCCTACATGCACCCTGGCCCTGGCCAGCCATTTGGTAATTCAAGGGGGCCTCAAAAAGCTTGTGGGGAAATTCCACTCTTTCCATTCCTTTTTCCTTGAGCTTTTTGTACCAATCAGGGATGTGATAGTACATCTCAGTGGGGACTACCACAAGGATCTGTGTTTTTCCCGTTTGTTTGTTTAAGAAGCTCAGGCGTCCTTTGACCTGTGGACTCCTGATCCTTGACTTGTTCCAGGTAGCCACATGGGAGAAGCAGATCTACACCTCCTGTCGAGATGGTCTTGTGCGACGCTATCAACTCTCTGATCTCTGACCCCTTGGAAGGAGAAGTCCCCAGCTAGTGAAAAGATTGATCCTTATCAACTGTGACTAGAAGCAACATCAGTCCTGCCCGATATCATGGCCCTTTATTGATTTGGGCACCCTTGGAAGTCACAACAAACTAAGCTATACTGCCCGTGTGGAGCTGTCATCTCATGATGAGACCTACTTTGAACTGAGTAAGAAGCTCACGGGTGCTCACTGCACTTGGCCCAACTTCTTGTGTAAACACACCCCGGCAACAGGGGGCAAAGTGCCTCCAGTTGGCTCTCACAGTTGTGTTTGATGTTTATAAGGGCCAGATGGCTAAAACCTGTTTGCTGAGAAATAAAGGAGGTATGTTTGAGGGGCCTGAGTTTGATCTGTTCTTTTAAACAGTCTGAGCACCAAGTCCACGAAGCCAGTGGAGCTCTTTCCTCAGGCACGCCCTGGTGGCCTGGCTAGAGAGAAGGATTGCTTGACAGTTGTAGTAACCTAGTAGCAGGTATCCCATAAACAGCAAGCTGTTACAGGTGCGATGACCAGCCACCCCAATTTGCATGTGACTGAGAGGTTTTCTGTGGGATGGTACTTACTGCTCAAACTGGGCCAGTCCCACACAACCAGCATAATTGGTCGGCCTTGTACAGTTGGAGAAACCAAATCAAAATTAATATAAAGATAGTGGTTGTCAAGTATAGGGCAGTAACCTGTGAGGCCTTTTACACCTGGGAACTTGTTAGAAATAGAAGTTCTTGACCTGGATCAGATCTACGGGTGGGACCACCAATCTGCTGTAACAAGCCTTCCAGGTGATGCTGGGACCCACTAAAGCTTGGGAACCAGTGACCTAGAAGAAAAGAGGGTTAAGGGCATATCAGGCATTGTTGGTACCAAGAACCCTAGTGTGGCTCAGCTGGTTTGTAAGAGATGGGGCTGGAGAAGTTGGGATACCCCAAACAGAGAAGGGGCTTCAATGCCAGGTAAGGAGCCTGAACTTTGGTCAGCAGTGGTGAACCACTTCAGGGTTTTTTACCCTTGATATCATTACTGGGACCATAATCTTTGTATTCCATGGCTTCTTTTCACTCAATGTCTCTCCATTTCATGCACACCTTCTCATTAATTTTTGCAGTATTTAGAGTATAGATATATTTCCCTTTTAGAGATTATTCTATAAGAGGTATCTTGAAGGATGCCACTTGAGCTAGACCATACAGGGTAAGGTTGGTACTTACATTAGGGAGGAAGGTCCTCTTGGCTGAGACAGTAATCTTACTGGCGGCATTTTTAAAGGTATATTCCCATGTAGGCCCCTGAGCATCACAGACTGTTAAGGGCTTAACTACTAGCAGAAAGGTTGCTTCACATCTCTCTGGAGGGTGCTCGGAAGACAGGCCTGGCAGTCTGCTTCCAAATGGTCACAACTATAAAATCCCAGCAGAACAGTTCTACTGTGCCCACATGGGGTTACCAGGAGTTGAAACTGGCACAACAAGGACATCCTCATGTCATCCTTGTAACTGCTCTGTGACGTGTGTGTGTGTGTGTGGATGGTGGACTCACAGGAAATGATTTACTACAGGCCATCGAATGCCAACAACGGGCTCACACATCATAATTGTGAGGATGGAGCAGGACTGGGCAGGGCTTTGTTCTGTTGTACATACGTAGGGTCACTACAAGTTGGAACCAACTGGACAGCACCCAACCAGAACAACAAAGAGCAGCAACGTGAACATAGTGTCTCTTGACCTTAAATCCCATTTTCTTCTAAAATACCTTGTTGCTTACACCCAAACCAACGTGTAAAAATAAAATACTGCACAGTTCGTTGAGTATCTACCGAGTACTCTTGTTGTCTGTACTATATATATTTAATCTTTACAACATGCTTAGAAATAAATGGGCATTATTCCTGTTTTGCTTAGTAGGAAGACTGAAGTTTTAAGAAACTAGGTGCTCCATCTAATGCTGTGATTTCGACCGCAGTCTGTCTGTCTCCAAAGCCTGTGTTCCTTCCACAGTGCCTTGTCATGAGCAGATTGTAAGAGACCTAAGTGGCTAAAGGCTAGAACTGCTTCCTTTTGAGGAGTGATTGGTTGTATGGTCAGTAAACTAACAGGCTCTAGTCCAAGTCACTGAAGCAGAAGAACCAGAGGCATTGACCCAGCAAGTGACCCTCAGAGCCGGCAATCTTCGGCGCTGCTGTTATATCTTCAGTCCCTTTTCATAGGTCTCCAGACTTAATATCCTGGTCGGTCCATCCTGATGCACTGACCTTGACGCTTGCCCTGAAATCCATATCCCGCCAGCAGGAGCTGAATGTGTGTACTGTGAATGGAAGTGGTCCCGGTTTGCAGCAGACAAAGCTTGTTTTTGTGGGGTTTTTTTCCCCTTGGTTGAAGAGTGCATTCTGGGTAAGGAAGGATAGGGGTCACCCCCATCCTCTGAGCTCTGCAGACCTGGTGAAATGGTTAAACCTTGTTTCTGGCTTTCAGGTGCCCCCTTGTGGCTTCTTGGGAGAAGTACCTTTGTCTTTCATACCGGAAACTGGCAGTGCCACTAGCTATTGAGCTTATTCTACTCTTGTGCCAGGCGCAGGCCCTGTGAGGATCACCTTGGAAAGGGAACCATTTTCCTGATTAAGTCTTTTTGTGGGTATATTTTCTATTTCCTTTTTTACATGACATAATTTCAAGCTTACTGAAAAAGGTGCAAGACTAACCCAAAGGATTCCTGTATACTCCCACCCAAGCCTCTCGATTGTTAACTTTTTATGATGTTTGCTTTAGATTCTCAAGCGCTCCATAGAAACGCATAGATGTATGCAGAATATAGATGTATACAACAATTGAAAGTAATATGTAAACATCATGTTCTGCTACCCTTACGATGCCAGTGTGCAGCTGCTGGTGCCTGGGCACTGTGCTATAACCACAGTACACACACCTATCCAATCAGGAGAATTGCACCGGCTCTCCCAGTCTGCAGACCCCACACAAGGCTTGCCGGGTGCCCAACCAGTATGTTTTATAACCCTTCCCTTTGGGTCCAGGATCACATCCAGAAGCGTACCTTGTATTTCATTGTCTTCCTCTATTTGCCATCTGTTTGAAGGGCTTGTTCGCGTTTCTTGGTTCTCCACGACCTTGACATTTTTAAAGAGTGTAGCCCAGTCTGTGGAAGGACTCCACCTGGGTTTGTCAGGTAGTTCCTCACGACGACATTCAGGTGATGCATTTTGGCAGGAATACTCCAGACAGGAGCCTGTGTCTGGCATACACCATATTGGGAGGCCCGTGATGTTGATTCTACCCATTACTGGTGATGTTAACCTGTCTTCCTTTTTTTTTTTAAGATTATTTTCAAAAGATAAAAGTCATCCTTTAAAAGTGTACGATTCAATGATTTGGGTATAGTCACAAGGTTATGTAACCATCATCACCACCACTTAACTCCAGAACATTTTCATCTCCCCCCCAAAAATCCTTTAGCACTCATTCTCCATCCCCCACTCCTCCTAGACCCTAGCACCCACCAATACACCTTGTAGAAATGCCTCTTCTGGAAATTTCATATCAATGGAATCAGATAATCATGGTCTGCTGTGTCTGTCTTATTGCACTTAGTATAGAGTTTCTAAATTTCATTTTTCTTTAATTGCCAAGTAACATCCCATTCTATAGCTATGGGAGCACTGACGCTGCTGTGGGGACTAGGCATTGGATGGCTAACCTTAAGGTTGGCATTTCAAACCCACCAGTTGGTCTGTCAGAGAATGATGAGGCTGTCCTCTGTGCCCATGAAGACTTACAGGCCCAGACACCTGATTCTGTAATACACAACACTCTACTTTTCGCTTTAAAAAACAACCAAACCCACGACCGGCAAGTTGATCTTGACTCATTGTGACACTGTAGGACAGCGTGGAACTGACTCTGGGTTTCCAAGACTTATTTTTCCCCTTCCCCGCAGGGGGAGATAAGTTTTTAAAGGAGTAGAAAGCCTCATCTTTCTCCTGCGGGTGGTTTTCAATTGCTGACTTTGTGGTAGCAGCTCAACGGGTAGCCACTAGGCCACTGGGGTGCCTTTTCGGTTAGGTTCTGTAATCCCTTACAATGGCCACAGAGAACTCACAGACAATGCTCATGATTGTGGGTTTATCATGGAGGTTAATGGGTTACAATTCAGGTGGAAATGCTCTGTGTAGAGTTGTTCAGTGAGTACACATGACAAAATTCTTCTAGAGCTAATGCTGGGGGCTTAAGTGGAGAGGAAATGTTTTGAGAATGATGAGGGCAATGAATGTACAAATGCACTTTACACAATTGATGTATGTATGGATTGTGATAAGCGTTGTATAAGCCCCTAATAAAATGATTTTAAAAAATGAACGCACAACAACAACAACAAAATTCTTCTAGAGTTGCTAGTAAGTGCCCAAAAGGCATGTCACTCCTCTGTAAGCCTGAGCCCCAAAGCACTTAGCTCCAGCTCTGTGGGTCAGCAAACTCAGCTCCCTCAATTAAGTGCCCAGGGGCACACCACTCCACAAGTGAACATCCTCCCCGAAAGCACTCAGCTTTACCTGCTGTATGGGCTGGGAAGTCCACGACTCTGTCTCATGGTCTGGCTCCTGGTTCAGCCGCTGATCCTCTGATGTCACAGCTGTCTTCTGGATCAAGGAGGTTCACTGAACAGGGTTTTCGTGGCCAGAGCACTCACTGCTACCCCTGACTCTTACTGGTTGTGAAACCCCCATCCTGCTTCTGAGAAGGCTTGATGGTAACCACTGTGACTCCTGTTAACAAGCACTCACAACTGAATCCTATGAGTATCTTTCCTCACCTTATCCCACCCACATTCATCAGGAGAAGGCAGTTTGTTGGGAGTTACAAAGACTGACTAGAAAAAGCCACATTAAATACTGCCCTGCTCCTGAGAGTCGGAATTGACTCTGTGACAGAGAATTCCTGAGTTTTATTTTACTTAGCATGATATTTCTGAGTTTCATCCATGTATCAGTATTTAATTTTTCAATTGCCAAATAATATTCCATTGTATGAATGAATATAGGAGCCCTGGTGGCGCTAGGTGTTGGACTGCTTACCCCAAGGTCAGCAGTTCAAACCCACCAGCTGCTCTGTGGGAGGAAGATGAGTCTGTCTGCTGTCGTAAAGAGTTACAGTCTGAGAAGCCCTATATAGCGTCACTCTGAGTTGGAATCAACTTGGTGGCAGTGAGTGGTGGGGTGGGCAAGGCTGTACCACACATTGTTACCTATTCATCAGTTGATGGCCATTTGGCATGTTTCTTCCTTTTAGCTCTTATGGAAAATGCTGTTATAAACATCCATGTATACGC